GTTGGCACGGGTCAGACTTCAGAACCATCAGAGTTGGAACGGGTCAGTCTGATTCTTTAATGTTTCTGTAAATAACTTCTTCATGGTGTTTATTTCTGGTTGGTTCTGCTGATGTTTCTTTCACAGGTCCAATAAAGGTCTCACACCCAAACTCACATGGACCTCCACTGTGTCTGAGCTCAGTTTTGTTTGACACGTCAGATCTCCTCCAGAAAGCCATGAAACAGAACCTGTGGTACCATCAGAACCTGCTGCTGTTCACGGGTCAAGACGTCTCTGATTAGACCTAGTTTTCACACAGAAACTGTCTGAGACTTACTTTATACTCTGTGTTTCTGCCTGCCTCATGAGCTGCTAGCTGCTGCCTCCCCTCACCATGGCAACCAGTGACTCAGCAGCTTCTGGGTCTTGATTGCACAGCGTACTCCTCTATTTCCATCATGGCTGCCCCATAGATATCCATGTCACTGCACGATCTGGACCATCAGCTTATTTGCGCAGGCGCTAAAAGAAATCCTTCTGGGAGGCCTTTAGATGTTGCAGATCACAGAATTAATGGATTTTCAGGCTTTCGACTTTAGTCACCTGCAATTGTTCCTGGAAAAGAAAACTTTTGCAGATGTGAATAGCAAAGTCTGCCAGGAGGAAGTTTCTACAATAAAGCTCAGAAAGAGGACTTTTATTAAAATAAAGGTCTTCTGTTGTAAGTAATGGCTCCACCAGAGGGCGCAGTGACAGCGTAAATACTTGACAGTCCAGTCAACAATAGTTTTATACTGAATTATAATTTTCAAAGTAAATGAAGACAGTTCTTATTCAATGTGTGGCATGGAGGCTGCACAGCTGCAGAAAGAAAAGCTTTGCAGAGAGTGGTGAAGGCTGCACAGAAGATGTTGGAGTCAGTCTCCCCACCATCACAGACATCTACACCTCCAGATGCAGGAAGAGGGCCACCTGCATCATGAAGGACCACACTCACCCAGCACACACACTTTTTGTCCCACTCCCCTCAGGAAGGAGGTTGAGGAGCATTAAGTGCAGAACCACTAGACTGAGGAACAGCTTCTACCCTGAGGCTGTTAGACTCATGAATCTCTAACCAGAATAATCACTGTGAAAAACCATATCATGTTGCTGCTGATCTGTTTCATGTTGCTGCTGATCTGTTTCATGTTGCTGCGGATCAGTTGCATGTTGCTGCTG